CTAATGAACTTTTCAATTAGTGAAATAGACATACGGTTCCAATAAGCAGCTAGCGGGGCGTCGTCCAAAATCCCTAAATCAGTCATTTTCAGAAAGTCTTCCAGCGCGTGAGAAGCGCACTAAAGCCACCACTCGTGGAGCAGGTACAAGGCTAGCGGCTTCGGTAAGGCGCCCGCGCAATTTTTCTGTCTCTTATCTAGCCCCAGCCTTGTACCTGGTCCACGAGTAGTAACTTCAGCGCACTACTGCGCTTCACACGCGCTCAGTTTTTCTAAAAATTACTGGTTTAGGGGTTTTGGACGACGCTCAGCAAGTTTCTAGTTGAAACCATATGTCTATTTTCACTAATTAAAAGTTAATTAACGAATTTTATTTAATTAGCCGACTTATCGTGAAGATTAGCAAACTACATAACGTCCCCCTGGGCGTATCACTCTCGCGCAAACCGCATAAGTGTAGCGTTCACGGCTTTTTTGAAAACAAATCTGCAAAAAAAAAAAAAAAAAAAAAAAAAAAAAACGGTATCTACCGTGCTGGTAGTTGACTCTTCGACCCTCCACAGCGGGGGCAATGGCGAACTGTGCCGCGCTCGGCTGTAGCAATTACCCGGTATCCCGACGATCGTTTCGTCAGCATGGACCGCGAGACAGAGTGTCCGTCAAGTTAGAGAAAGTAAAAGCGGGCGGAGAGGGATACGCCCGCGGATGGCCTAGCATTGTTTACCAGTATTTCGCAAAATCGTAACAATCTTTCTACAAGCGACTCGTAAAGCCGCTCGTCAAATTTTGGAACGCGTAATTAAGAGTCTGTGCTGCTGTTGTTTTTTGGCGACACGTCAAAACTTTGTCGGCGGCAGGTCGAAACTTTCTGCTTGTAGCGCAATCGCACCAATGCCGAAACATTCTGCACAATGATTCTCCAGGCTGCCAGGAGATAGACACGGCCTAAATCTAGAGGTAATCTGGAAGATTACATTTAGGAAAAACGATCAATTGTCACGAAGTAGGTTGCAGCGCACTTACGTTGACGAGACGCGACTTGAAAGGTGTTGTACGAGGGAGATGTCGACACGGCCACGGCACAACCACCACTCGAACACAGAAACGAGAAGGTGCCCGTGAAGATTCAACACGATGTAGCACAAGCTATCGTTTGTAGAACCGAACACTGAACGCATCACAAAAAATTCTTGGGCTTCTTTGAAGTAATCGCTTGCAGAAGCAGACATAGGCATCTGCCACAGAGGGAGAATTCACACGCCAAACTAAGTCCGGCTAAACGCATTCCGAGATCGGCAACGGCTAATGCGTCATCCGTCAAACAACGTGACCACTCACCATTTACAACGCTTTCAGCTTAGGGAGAGAGAAAAGGACCGAAGGAGAGGCCAAAACGGGGGTTTCACGAACAAAAGGCTTATCTATTGGGGCCACAACCAGGAGATGTGTCACTTGTAACGAAGGCTGACAGTGCTGTGAATGCTATGTGTGGCCTTGGGCACCAGGCAGGTGCGATGTCCTGCTTTGTCACCAGATTCTAGACTGTAGTCACGTGACCCTAACCGGAGACACGATTGGCCTAAAACACGCGTAGCGTCTACCCTGCTGTCAATACCGAATGAACATACAGCTTTATGAAGCCTAGCTTTTGAACTCAAAACGATGCGAGTTTCAAGATACTATGTTTTACGCTGTACAAACCACATTATAATTTTAAATGAAAAAATTAACGCGACTATTTTTTTGTGCATGACGTCGACAAATAAATAGGTAAATAAATATGTATATATATATATATATATATATATGTATTTTTTTAATAAACTTAAAATTACGTGTACACTGTCTCAAATTTTTTTACGAACCAGTTAAACATAAAAGACACCACGGACAGCACATCTTCCGACTTTAAACACACGATGAATCGCCGTCGCTCGCAAACAAACGAATGCGATGCTGCGCGAACGGTTTTGAAAGAGCTGCGTATTGTACTCCGGGCGCAACGGCTTCCGTTCGAAGGGAAAATGATTCGGGACGGCGAAGCAGCGTCTTACATCTTGAGTAAGCTAACGGTTCGTGTTTACCCGCTCAATTTAGCGGGGAAACATGAATAAAAAAATAGTTTCACTGCCAGATTTCGCGGGAAAATTGACGTCACGTGGCATAGGTACCAATTCAATTTCTTGTTAAATTTAGCGGGCGGTTACACCGATGGCGACGCCGACTCCGCTTAACTCGGAAACGGGTGCCTAAGAGCTGCGACTAAAAATTTGGTTAACTCAAGTTCCGATCGCACTTCGTCATATTGTCACACATCAATCATACAACCAAATTTCATTTGTCTTTCAATCTTCAAATTGCGCAATTGATTAATTGGTCCAAATACCTGGAATAACTTCACTTTAAGGATGTTGACAATAGTTAACCAATTACGTGGGACTCATGCAATATACATCAATCAACTAGTGTCTCAGCGAATACATATAACTTGTTGCTTGCACGACTGAAACGGGCCCATATATCATTATCAGGGGCGCTATATTTGCACGCGTATATGGTGATATATGGACGTATTTACGCACTTATACGGCCAGATCTGGCAGTATTTGCCCACCTATATGGCGAAATACGGCCGTATATTAGCTCCCATATCTGGCGAAATACAGCCCTATTTGACTGCTTATATTATCATATCTGAACTTATATAAAATATATCAGGGTCATATCTGACATTTTCGTACAGGATACCACTGCACCGGATGCCTTGGTTGCAGGCTTGTGCATGAGAGGATGATGTGCTGGATGGTTTCATCCGCTTCTCAACAAGCCCGGCATGTTATAGCTGGAAAAGCTGGCGCCATCTACGACCCTAGTGAAAAAAGTCATTTTTATGAGAAATTTCTTGTGTCCAAAAAACACATATGAATCATACAAGATATATAAGGACATATGAAAACCATACAAGAACAATATAAGAACTATATAAGAATTATATAAGATATATAAGAACCATACACGAAACTTATGAGAAACTCCTCACAAGTTTCTTACGTGGTGCTTGTATGTTCTTTTATATCTCATATAGTTCTTATATAGCTCTTATATGGTTCGTATATGCTCTTATATATATTGTATAATTCAATGTTTTTTGACACATTTTTTATACAAATGAGAATCTTCAATAGGGCTCGAGCGACGGCGGAAATCATACTGGTTGTGTGCTTGCCGACGCCGATGGATGGCGGTAGCTGTCCAGGTAGCTTTGTGTCGACATACCAGACACGATCCTGGGGAACCTAGCCCTTAACAGCTCCGCTGTAAAATGTTCCCAGTAACTATCCGACCCCTTTCCTCCCGTTATTCTCCAAATGCCTAGAAAAAATAATACATACCGTTTGGTTCAATTTTCTGATAAACATAACCTGCTGACTTCCGCCCAATTTGGTTTTAGGAAAGGTCGTTCGACGAAATTAGCATTACTAGAATAAAAACAATATATTTTTTAAAAAAATTCGGTGGGGGAAAAAAACAGGTTCTAGGCGTATTCGGGGGCTTCACGAAAGCCTTTGATTTTATCAACCATAATATCTTACTTTAGACATTTGAACTGCATGGTATCCGCACGTTACCTTTAGAACTTCTACGCTTCTACTTGCGACACCGTTGTCAATATGTTTCTATTGGCAAATTTTCTTCTAACGTTCAAACTATTCACTCAGGCGTCCCACAGGGGAGCATTCTTGCCGTTCCTTTTTAATATGTACATTAATGACATTGTAAACATAAGTCCTGCAAAATTTGTCATATATGCTGACGACGGTATAGCCTATTATTTTATTCGAATAATAGCGATGATCTTGTCACAATCGCCAATGATACTTTGTCCAAACTTGGGGATAGGCAAAAGATAACCGCTTAAGAATTACTACTCATAAAACTAAAGCTATTCTTTTTCCAACTCAAGAATAAGTGCGTTACTCTAACGAGAAGCATCGTGCTTGACTCTACGCCAATTGAAGTCGTTAGTAATTTTAAAAGTCTTGGAGTCATATTTTCGGAACATATGTTGTGGAACAGCTATATTAACCACTTACTTGCAAAATTACCAATTGTCATAGGTCTGACATTCCGTAGCGGTAAAACACTCCCAGACAATGTGAAGCTATTAGTTTACAATTGTTTATTCTATACTCATCTGAGTTACTGCAACCTCGTCTGGGGTAGCACTACATTCACGAATCTGCGAAAATTATTTTTACTGCAGAAACAAATTATTAGAATAATATGCAACCTGCCTTAGGAGTTCCATACAGGCAGTTTGTTTAAGAAGTTTAGCTTATTAAAATTAAAATTCTTTATAAATACAGATTGATCCTGAGTTTAAAATTCGAAAAAAAGAAACATTATAAATCGCTGTCAACCCTAGCGGCATTGACACCAAATCAACACGGTCACTTAACTGGACATATAGACTAATGGAAAATTGTTTAATGTTCTACTATAGTACGCAAATGTTGCAATATACAATAGCAAAACTCTTAACTTTCCTTCTAAAAAAAAAAATTTGCATTGACACTATCTCTTTCAAGGCTTTGCGTTCTTTTTATCTGTAGCGGTGATTCACCTCCTCCAATCAATTGATTCTTTAAATTCATTTATGCTACCTAAAATGCACGCTTTTGTTTGTTTTTTCGGATTCCTCGTCCGTAAGGACTGTGCATGGAACTGTTTAGGTGATTAATGACTTTCTAGTAATTTTGTGCACAATTTTGCTGCAATGCCATTGTACTGGGCCGAGGGCTGGTCAAGCTTCCTTTGGGGCTTTTATCCTTCGCTCCACCATGCTTCATGTAAATAAATTATTATTATTACATGCTGTATTTTGTAGGCTTAAATCACGGGGCCGCTCTAGCGCGATTTTCACACTTGCCCTTGTAGCCTACCGTAAAATCACTTGCACGCATGAGCAGGGGTCTTCCTTGTCTTCGATGACGGGGAACGTTTTCTTTTTTTTAATTTTATTGAGATCCATATAACTTTCTGTACATCAACAAATCAGACGGCCATGTGCCGTCACACAAGGCACTTTGCCGATCCACGCCAGAAACCATCGCGAGCCACGCTGTCAGGAACGGGAGCTCGGGTCGTACACGTTGGTGTACCCGTGGAGCGTTGCCTGCAGAAAAACAACACACCATCATCATCATCATCATCATCATCGTTTATTTTCCTGAATGACTCGAATAGACTAACACGCGGCTCTGACGTCGTGCCGCGGTGGTGGCGCTGCTGTCGGTATGGCACATGAGCAGAGGCTTCAGCTCAGGCGAATCTGGTTTGTGTGCACCCGCAGCTCACACACCTGATGTAGGCAAACGCAGACTTGTTTGTAAACGGCTCGTTGGCCTAAATATATCGAATATTATCAGAAACCCAATGTTGAAAAAGGCGCAGTAATCTTGTTAGGGGGAGTTATAGAGGAAGAGGGTATAGGGGCTGCATTCTGTAAATATATTAAAGTCATTACAGGGCTTTAGTAGATCGTTCCGACAGCTCCGAAAACGATACCCGGTACTCTGCCTTTGCGCATGCATCGTATCGTTTTCGGATATCGTTATCGGAGGTATCCGAACCATCTACTAAAACTTTCTATATATAGAAACAATCTGGTCAGGTAATGGATTCCCCTTTTTTACACCCATCGGTAATCAGAGGTCGGCATTTTAGGTCACCCTCACTCACCCTCATCTTCACAGCCACACCCACTTAAGCCCCTCGATCACCCTCACCCTCACAACTGCACTCACCCTCAGCCCCTCACTCACCCTCATCTTCACAGCCACACCCACTCAAGCCCTCGATCACCCTCATCCTCACAGCTCCACTCACCCTCAGCCCCTCGATCACCCTCATTCTCACATGTCACACTCACCTTCAGCACTTCACTCACCCTCGCTAAACCTCAAGTCCCTCACGCACTCATGGCCCTCACACCCCTCACGCACTCACCTCCCTCACGACCCTCACGCACTCACGGTCCTCACTCAGCCTCCCCTCATGAATCTTCTTGGTTCAGAAACTCACTCACACTCACCTCACATCTGAAGATGAGGGTGAGTGAGGGCCCTCATGAGTGAGGTTTACCGAGGTAGGTCGGTAATGTAGACATTTGGTAAGAGACAATGGAAGATGAAATCGATAGACTTTAGAAGCTCGGGTCACAGAAAGTCCGGCGTCGGTGGGACCGAAGAATTCCATAATGCACTGCGCGCCGCCACGTGAGATGTCACACGTGACGTAACGTCAATTTCCCGCCAAATTTAGCGGAAAATTTTCCCGTCAAATTTAGCGGGTCAATAGGGATTATGACGTCACAGCTCACTGACGGCACGCGTCACAAGTGGCACGGCTCGGTAAAAACGTGGCGTCACACGTGTGACGTCACGCACACACGCCTTCACGGCTTGGGAAAAAGCGCGGGTTTACATTGGAAGGCTTTGCGAACAGTGCCCAATACCCCCCCCCCCCCCCCTTCCCCCCAAAGTTTTTCATATTGTAATTTTAGCAATAAAAAAAGGGTGTTTTCATGATACTAAGGCTCTCAGTAATGCTGAAATACAAAGGAAACCAGACTGAATATACAGAAGTCCATCGCGAAGGCATGTCATTACAAACTTATAATGTTTTTGATGCATGGTAATTCTAACCACAATTCGTAGAAAACGCAACAGTCTCCACTGTCACCAACTGTGTACGTCCTTAAAAATATTCTTTTTTTTATGGCGTTAGTTGTCTTGAGTTTGTTGTACTGTGCGAGTCTCGTGTCTCAGAAAACCACGGCCACTCGATTCCCCCCCTAATCGAGTGGCCGTGCAGAAAACCACGCCTGCCGATGTTTTTCCGAAAACAAAAGAGCGCGCGTGAGAGGAGAACTTCTCCCATTTTCCGTGGGGGCGCTGCACATCGGTGAGCGGTCTTGTGAGCTGAAAGCTATACTCTGCTTCACCTTATGTTGTACCGCAAGAAAGGCTGTAAGCGCGAGCTCCTTGCTTTGGGGCAGATCTCGGCGGCACTAACTCTCGTGCATTGAGGGCAGCTGTCAACGCTATGAGCTCGCGCTTCCAGCCTTCGCTGCGGTACAACATAAGGTGAAACGGAGTATAGAGAAGGCGCCCAACGCGCTCTTGCTCCGCTACCAAGATAAAATATCTGCCTGTTATTGGCTTCGCCGATACCGAGGAGCTGCCGCGGTTGCAGAAGGCAGCAAAACTCGCTTTCCCCCCACCTATGCACCGCTATGCACGGCGAAAATATCGCAGTGACACTCTGCGCTCGCGTGTGTGGTTTGTGTTGGCATTTTGGAAGCTGCCGGAAATGTAAATGCGCGTTCTAGTTCTGAGTGCCAGACGGCGACGAAATGTGCCAACTCCACTCGTGAAACAGGAAATCCTGCAGTCGATGAAGTACAATGAAGTCTATTCCGAACTTGAGTTCGCACCGCTGACTTACATGGCTGGCTACTTGACCTTCGTTTGCGAACAAAAGGTGACCATTTTTATTTGTAGAAATTGTCGTAATTTCAAAGTAATTAGCTGAAACATTCAACCTAGCAAAGCAATAAGAATTTCTCAGTGAAAGCAAGGAAGGCCTAATGTGTAGAACCCGCTAAACTTTGCAGGTGACGTGTCCTGAATGCAAGCGCAACTTAAGGGAAATGCATCACATGACGGAGCATATCAGTCCATGTTTAGCCTTGAGCAAGGAGGACTCAGCTATCCACGACCTGAAGCTGTCTGGCTGTGCAAGCTCGTCTGCACCTTTGTCGAGGGGGCTCCACAGTCGGCAGAGATTCGTGGTTGTGGAAGGATTTGCAAGGTCCTCCCGAGCGCTGTGCTTCCGCACCTTATGGACTGCCCGCTGATGTGGTGTGTTAACTGCCGAGACCCCTACCACAGCGAAGAGCCTCCCTGCGAGCTCTTTCTCAGAAAACACCTCAGACCTTTTTTGGCAAACTGGGCTGGTGACCTAAACAGCCCACTAGAGAATATATTGAGGTTTTCGCGGAAGCCTCTTTCCCGAAAGGTACTACGCTTGTGAACTATATAACTCCCTCGGTCTGTTTTTTTTTTTTTTTTTTTGTGAACAATGAAGTTTATATTGCTGAAGTTATGCACGCGGAATCTGATTTTATATTGTCCTTCGCAGATGTTTAAATGGCACAGCTCGCGCGTGCTCGAGCGTCGGTTAAAACGGGAAATCATACGGCCTAGCTATATCCAACTATAACTCCTATATTACAGTAGTAATAGAAACGGGGCAACAGCTACGGGAACAAGAAAACGCCAATTCGCTCATACTGCCAGCAGAATGCAGCTTTAACGCGCAGCCTGCAGCTGAGTGAGCGTTTCGCAGAAAGAAACATGTGCTTTTATTCTACATAGATTTGTCACACCATTCATGCAATCTGGCACTCGTTTCAATTGAGACTTTCGCCTTCACGAAAAAAAAAAAAAATATCTAAATAGCCACACCGGGCCGGGCCGGGCGGACCGCTCTTCTCTCACTATATTTCGTCTTACCTTAGCATGGACTAACCGCGAACGCTGTGCTAGCGCGAGCGGCTAGCCTTTACTGCCTTCACTGGAGCACTCGCTGCACGAGCGCTCATGCGGCCGCCGAGGCTTCCTTCGAAGCAACTATCTCGCGCTTTTAGCACGCGCGGCTAACAAGTACATACTAACGTGAAACGAAGTATAGAGTTCCTCGATATGCTCCCCCGAAAGGAACTCTATCTCTCACTAAAGCCCCTTGATGTGTTTACGTGTCTTGCAAGTAGCGTCAAATGCGCGAGCGCACGAGGCCCATGTCTCGAGCGGCCCCTGGAAGCAAATGGCGGTGCAGCACTGAAATGAGCGGCCTTTGGAAGCGAATGGCGGCGGAGCACGCGCTCGCGGCACGTATCTCGCGCGTTTTCACAACAATGGTTGGCGGTACTTGTAAAAACGGCCTTTATCAAGGGGCTTTATCTCTCACCGATAACGAGCGCCACGGCTGGCGCTGCGGGGTAAAGTAGAACTATCGCTCTCCCCGGCGGAGTGAGGCATACGGCAGGCCGCTCCCAAGGGGAGTCCTAAACGAGTGGCCGTGACTTTAGAAACAAACTGCCATTGATTTGGTGAAAAAAGGATAGATCACTGTGACTGCGCGGTCTAAGTATTATATTTACGAAATTGTCGTTAAAAAGTTTCGCCAGAGAGACACAGTCTGGCCGTTTACAATTAGGTCACCTAGCACATGGTTGAAAAACACCGAGACTGCGGGTAAACGACACAACACTAAATAGTGTGCAATGTACACCAGATCGTTTGCGACCTTACATTCTCTTCAGGTCACCTATTTGTTTTGAAATTGTCTCGCGGTTCAGAGCTTCATTAACTTTTTCTCCACATAATGGCAAGTCGCTGTTTCTCAACGTCATGAAACATTTCTTTGTAGACTCAGATTTCGCTTTTCGCAATTCAGCGGTTAGCTAGTTTTGAAATTTCTTAAAGATGATAAGTTTGTTTGAATCCCGTGAGCTTAAAAACGCCTTATATAGACGGTATTTCTTTTGCGTAATTTTGATATGGACTGGGGTAACCCTAGGTTTTCTAATTTCCTTTGATGCAGTAACTGTTATTTTCGGAAAGTGCAAATCGTAAAGCATCTTGAATGTTTGAAGAAACTGATTGTATGCATTGTTTACATCTAGGTGGGAATAAAGGAAGTCCCACCATTGGCTTATTACGGCCGTACAAAATGCGAGAATACTAGAATTTTAAATTTTCTGAAATGTTATTGCATTTTTTTATATTTATTTACCTGTTTCTTAAAATCGTGTTTATAAAATGACTGAAATATTGAATTGTGGTCACTGATGTCACAACTTACTGTGCCAGCAGCTTTAATGTCTGTATTAACATTAGTGATAAAAAGGTCGATGGAATTAGAAGTAGATAGTGTTACTCTAGTCGGAGACGAGATGTCATTTCTAAATCCGGCGGAGTTTAGTGTAGTCGTGAGTGGTAAAGTATGAACCGAATTTTCAAGTATATTGACGTTAAAGTCACCCCCCCCCCCCCCCCCCCCCCGCCCCCCCAGGATTAAATTATACTCATTTACTGACACAAATCCAAAGAATTGCCCAAGAAAGATAACGAAGTTTTCAAAGTTTGCCGCTGGCGGGCGATATAAAACAGAAAATATATTTTTTCTTGTCTCATGATTAATATCTCGAAGTCGCTTCTGATTTTCGAATAACTATCCAGTAGCTCCACATGAATGTTATGTTTGAGGTAAATTGACACACCACCACCACGCTTATTACTACGATGTAAAAAGTAATGTTCGTAACCATCTAAATGAAGCATTTCAGCGTCTTGCTGATACCATGTTTCAGCAAACATAATAGTATCAAATAATGTCTGAATTTCATCGAAAAGTGAAAAAAGGTGATCAAATTTACTTTTATAGACCGTGCATTCAAGTGAAAGATCGTTGTAACAGATGGGTGTGTAAGGTGCTTACTGATTTCGCTAGGCAACACCTATCCCACGTACTGCATCAAGAAAAAAACTAATATGCCACAGAGGCACCGATTACGTTCACTAATCTTAACAAGGTCCGCTTCGCTAGCGATGGTGATGACAGGTGCATGTTCAGCTTTAGGAGCGAGGATTTTGCCATTTTGTACCCAGACGAATTTCCAATTGGATTGCGCCTCTTCGTTACTGCCATTCCAAGGATTCGTTTGAGAGTTGCGCGAAGAAGTTATTTCGCAAAGATGGGTGCTTGCGAAGGAACGCCTACGTCTGAGTGTATAAGACGTTTCTTTTTTTGCTTTTCCGGGCACCGCGTCACGTTTCTTTCGGTTTATAGACTGCACAATGATGTTGATCTTCTTGGCGTCTCGAGTCGGTACGCGATGACATGCGGCGATATGAGCACGCGTGATCGGCTCGTCGATCGCACCCCCCCCCCCCCCCCCCCCCCCCAGTTTATCAAGCATATCGTAAAGGTTTTCCTAATTGCGCTTCTCAACTCCCTTTATCACAATGTTTCCGTTCCTAGAATACTTTTCGTAGTGTGTTAACCATTCCCTCGCATTTCTTTAGTTCTTCCTCCATTGCATCACACTTTAGGCAAAGATCTGCGTAGTCCTTTTTCAGGTTTGTGTTTTCTCTCATGGCGGTTTGAAAGTTCCCCCTGATTTCTTCAAACGTAGTATTCATGAAGGTCATACTCTCTTGCACACCTTTCAACTCGGTTCGTATTACACCGATGTCTGTCCGTATGGGTCTTCCAAAGATTCACGTAAATTCTTAAATTCTTGATGATGAAATGGGGTTGAATCACCCGCTTAAACGGGTGATTCAACCCCATTTAAGCGAACACTCTTGTGTGAAAGGACTCCGAGGCGGTTGTCATCCGAGTGTTTTTCAGAGTGCAGCTCTTAGGCGCCCGTTTCGGGCTTGAGCGGCGTCGCCGTCGGCGTAACCGCACGGTGCATTATGGATAAATTTCCCCGCTAAATTTAGCGGAAAAATTTCCCCGCTAAATCTAGCGGACAAATTACCCCGCTAAATCTAGAGCAAAAATTTTCCCGCTAAATTTAGCGGAAAAATTTCCCCGCTAAATCTAGCGGAAAAATTTCTCCGCTAAATCTAGCGGAAAAAGTTCCCCGCAAGTCTAGCGGAAAAATTTCCCCACTAAATCTAGCGGACAAATTTCCCGCTAAATCTAGAGGAAACATTTCTCTAGGGGGTCACGCGGCCCTTCCCCCAGGTCACGTGACACCCCCCCCCCCCCCCCCCCCGGGGTCATCCCCGAGGTCATGTGACACCTCCGAGGTCACGTGACCCCCCCAGTACACTTTCCTACTGCTCCTCAAGAGCTGCGCTCTAATTCGGTGTTACAGGGAGTTGTAAACGGCTTTCACTTTTTTCTTGATCACATTCTTTTTTCTTGCTTTGTGGCACAACAAATCACCAATGAAGTATTGAGAGCACGGTCTTAGATGGCTATGTCAATTGACACCCCGAATGAAGGAGATGCATCTTGCTACTCGGGTAGTACGCATGGTGGTACACACATCTTTGGTGTTTCCGATTTAGAAAGATTGATTTGATATTAAGCCATTCCTGTTACTCACCGTCAGTTTCATTTGTCTGCATTAACCATTTGCAGAAAGAATCATCACAAGAAAATCATTGCTGGACTTCGCTGTAAGTTTCATCTGGCCAGCAAAGCAATCGTCGAGCTATCAGAAAAGCATGAGACTACCTTTCATTCCATCCTGTTCGTGTCCAGTCCTGAAGATCTTTTATGCAGTTGTAAATAAATATATTAAATGCTGCTGCGTTTTTACACTCTCAAGAAAAAAGGTTGTAAAAGGGTGTATACGTTACACCCTTTGTCCCATATAATACACCCCAAAATTTCATTTCGACGTACTGAGCCCTATAGTCGAACAGACGACCCCAAATTTTACGAGGGGCTTGATAACGGTGCAATACAACTTTTTAAATAGCTAAAGTACGTATCAAAGACCACATAAATAAGACACCGAGTGTTTACAGTAAAGCCAAGAAAACCCTGATTTTTTCTTAGTCAGTAAAATGTACATTAGCTATTTTAATAAGTTGTACCACACGGCTATCAAGTCCCTTGTAAAATTTGAGGCCGTCTGTTCGACTGCAGGGCGCTGTACGTCGAATTGAAGTTTTGGGGTGTGTTGTATAAGAGAAAGGGTGTAACGATACACCGTTTTTACACCCTTTTCTCTTGAGAGTGTATGGCGGCCATCTGCATGGTTAAAAAGTGTAAACAAAATAACAACAAACAATTCCAGGGGCTCAATGTGATGACAAAAATAAGCGGCTAAGCTTTAAGCAACAAGGTTCGACACTGCAAAGGCAGGACGGCACGGACCACCCTTGTCGAGTGAATTAATAGACTGTTTAGGTATTAAGACAACGTCAAGATCGCGCTATGCGTGCACTCATTGTATACAGTGTCTTCTCATTGCCTCCACTATACTCACAAAGCCTGGCAGTTCGATGACGGAGCCATAGAGTGTCCGGTCGCAGGTTTGGAGCGCGAGGATCTGCTAGCACAGAACGTTTCTCGGGGAGTCTGGTATTCAGCGCACAGCTTTTGCAGCGGCGAGGACCCGAAAAATTTGCTACGACACAGAACAAAGACCGCTTCTTACGGTGCGTGGCAGGTCTGACGCGTCCCACGGAGTGTCATAGTTGTCGTCGAAGACGCGGGGGTCATGAACCCACCGAGGACTGTACGTCCCAGACAGAGAGGGTCTGGGCGGCATGCTCGAAGCAAGCTTCGTGCGACGACCTAGAACGGAAAGTCAACTTTCTGTGGTAACGCAGTCAAGCGCTCGTGCACAATGAGCGCCGATCAAACCTCTGCACGCGCGTGCACTCCTCTCCCACAGAAACCTTTTGTTGTTTTCTTTCACAAACATCACTGTCCGCACACGTGCTAGGTCACAGCCCAGCATGCGTGTGTACGCCGCTTCGGAAACCAAACAAAGCACATGAAAAAATGACACTGGTCAGAGGCACTTTTCTGGAGCAATGTATGGGAACACACGCCCCGCGCGCTTGCGTGGAAGCAACCATGCAGTCTATGACGAGACAAGATACGCAGAGCTTCTCGTTTGGATGTCCAGCTTTTAGCGCACGCCCTCGTTGTCTTCCATCGTGCTTTTGTTGCGCATGCTGGAAGCTCACAAGACACCCAAGTGTTATCGAAGGCACAAAACTTGGGCGCGAGTCGTCGCGACCCCACTAATCTACATCCTGGTCGTTCTTAAGCTGTCAGGGGCTTGTTGCAATATAAAATCTTCAGTTAAAGCTCTGCCTCCAGCGAGAGTTTTTTTATATTCACTAGAAGAGCAGGGAGGTTTTTCCGTCGTCTCGCCTCCAGCGCGAACTTCGTACCTTCGATACCCCTTTCGCGTCTTGGGATGCTTTTGAGGCACAACCAAAGCACGACGGACGGCAAGGAGCGCGTGTGTTTGATGCGGATCACGGTGGAAGAGGTGTCTGGACGGCACTCCCTCGCCACGAAGAAAGTGTGTTAAAGGTTCGCTCCAATTTCTGACAAACGCCGTGAGATGGCGCAGTGTGACAGGAGCTCGCGAGGAACCGTCCTTTTTGTTTTAGCGCACATGTTTTCAAGGCTGCGAGGTGCAAAACCACATCTGCGAGAGGAGCCCTAACTCGACAGTGCTCCGGGAGACGCGCGAAGCCCGAGTGAAGTTTCGACGCTTTTTCTGGCCTTTTTCTGACACAAGATCTCTTCTTTTACCGTGATTCGGATCTTGTCCTGCGGATCTTATCTTGCAAAATACTATATTTCAATCTTATCCGTGTTTTGTATAAAAAAAAAGAGGAGCGAGTATGGCGGCGTACCTCGAATGATCCTGGCTCTCTTGACACACGCCCAGGAGATGACTATGGACAGTGTGACCAGGGTCACGCAGGCGATGATGACGATGAAGAAGTAGCTGCGCATGTAGAAAGGGCTCTCCTGCTGCAGGTTACCGGACAGGAACCGGTTGGTGACTGCAGTAATAAAAATATTATGTGGCGGTCAGTAACAGTTAGCACGTTCAATCTCCGATTGTTCCTGTTTTTCTTTTTTTTTTTTTAACAAATAAAAAGCTGTCATCAAATATGTTGCTGTAGTAAAAGGGGGTATTTGGGGCATCATCATAGGTGGTCAAAGTCAAAGTGAAATTTTGGGGGTTTTAAGAGCCAAAATCAACGAATCGCGTTCGGTACGCTCCAGTGAAGGACTGAAGATCCGTTCTGACTCCGAGGACAGTACCGGCCGTTTACACTTGCGTATTCGCGGGCGAATCCTTGCAGGCCAAAAGTGGATTTCGGAGCCTGGTGGCGAATTCGGCTCATCGCTGGCGGAAAATCTGGATAGGGGTCTCTGGCTGATACAGATTTTCCACCAGCGACGAGTCGATTTCGCCACCTCCGAAATCCTCTTAGCGCCTGCGCGGATCCTCCCGCGAATCCTCAAGTGTAACGAGTGGTCCAAACAAACCAAGCCGCAAAACGGGCCGGTAAGAATAAAGGAGGCGGAACCTCCCCCGGCCCATCTCAGCCCGCTCAAGGTTTGCGAGGAAAGTGGACCGGTTTCCCCTGCTTGGCCGAAAGGGCTCTCGGGCGCTTTGCGGCTCTCCGGGGCCGGAAAAAGATGGGTATTTTCAACTTTGGACCGCAAAGCGGGAGACGCAAAACGTCACGTTCACGTGACCACTGACGTCACTCCTCCTCACCGGATTTCTCCGGGACCCGTTTTCTCCTGTTTTGCGACTTGGTTTGGACCGCGCTTAAATGCGCCATCTATAGAAAGCGCCGTGACACCTCTAACAGATTTTTAAAGCTATTTGATTTATTTGAACACGCGCCCGACATGCTCGATCGCCGTCCGTTTTTGGAATGCGGTCCTCAGCTCACATAACGCTCATGTTGGGCCCCTACCCACATGTTTACTTACAACGTGATGGCGTACCTAGCAGACATGGACGTACAAAAAAGAAGGGGGGGGGGGGGGGGGCGCCACGGCCTGAGTTTGCCCAGGGCGTTTGATGGTGCAAGGCCGGCGCTGCCTGGAATCTTATGAAGCGCATACCCGGAATTGCGCTTACATGGCGCCCCCTCCGCAATAAGCCTCTGTTAGATGGCGGTTACCTCGACTGGGATTCCAACCTGCTCACTTGGAAATCCGTAACCCCCGCACCCCCCATGCATCCCGATCCGCAGCAGTTTTCTTGTGTATGTACAACGCGTGTGTTTGCTTCTGTACGCTATTCTAAAACCCGTTAGCTACTACAATGAACCACAGGCTGTCTTGGTTAAAAGAGGCCGACAACTCACATTTGAGCCTGGTAGATTCCGTGATGGAGTTGGAGTAGGCACCCCGACCGAAGCGGTTGTAAGCGGCCAGCCGAAAGCTGTACTTGACACTGCTCTCCAGGTCAGTCACACTCGCGACGCTTGTGGTCGCCGGGAAGTGTTGCAAAGACACTTCGTCCGTGTAGTCCCGTCGAGTCTCCAGCACGTACTCTGTGGATGTGAACGAAAAAAGTGCGAATTCGATTTTTGGCTTACAAAGGGCGTAGAGGCAAAGAACGTTGAAGGGCTGTTCCATACAGAACACGACTCCGTCCTGTACTTTCAGCGTACACGACTTTACGCCCCGGAGAATCGCGCACACACTTCCCCACCGATCCGCTTGTCCATTAATTCGCTTTGCGCGCGCTTATGGGGAGTCGATACAACTTTTGTAGTGAAACAGCAGAAGTCGTGCTCAGGGTGGACAGCCCTTTATGCAGTACAGCAGGGGTGGCAACCTTTTGCTGCAGTGGGCCAAACCGCCGCAAAAGTGGAGACGGAGTGGTCCGAATGGAGACACGGAGATGGGAAGCGGCTGATTCCACCCCCTCCATCTTTCACTTTTATAAACTGATCCCAGTTTATGGAAGTGAAAGATTAAAAGAACGGTAACATAAGTGCTTAAAGTCATATGCGAATGTGTTCTTCGATTCAGACAGGCGTAACGCAAGATTGCTCGAGCCCCCTTAGTAAGATTTTGGGTGCTCAGTATCGATGCGAACATTCACACTAAACTCATAACTAAACGTCGTAAAAAAATTCGGAGGTACTCATCTGTCATTCGCAAGACTCACGTTTTACTTCACAGTTTTGCATCTTAAAAGAGTATGTTCGCAGATATGTACGTGCCGTATCGAACACTTCGATGAAGGCCCCTCCGAGGTTTCGTAGATTTGCAAGCTTTCATTCAGGGACGCCAGCGGAAAACGTAACGAAGTCGTTCGCAGCAAATGCTCTCTTCAATGCAATGTAAAGTATTTCAAGGATTCACCTGTGAACATCTAATATACGTATCTAATTATGTCCATCATTTAGTTCTGAGCTGTACTGCATGTGCCAAAGGCAATTATTTCAAGGATTCAACTGTCACCATCAAATTCGTAGCTAACAACAAATGGCGGATAACACCCTATATGACAAATCTGGTGCTTGGCACATTTTCTTTACGGCATTTTGATCTAATTTAGAAGCTCATATTATTATAATCGTAGACCAATACAGATGACAGCGGGAGATATAGCGACGCATGGCCCAGTTCTCTAAACTTACGCAAGACAGAAGCGTTGTGGGCTTTTGGGATCTTCCAGTTCAAGGTCACCATGGACTCCTCCGTCTTGACTAGATAAAGTGTCGGAGCCGGAGGTGGGTCTGAAAACGCCGACCACAAAGTCATGTCATCTTTCAGGATTCATGTAACAGGAAAAGCTTCACCCTGTTCATGATGAACTTAGCCTCTTAATTAAATCATTGGCTTTGTTGTTTCGACGTCTCTTTAATATGGACACCTCCGTTCCCTAAATAAAGCGTCTATAATGCGAGTAGTGCATCATTAAAAATAATCGATGATACTGAGTTAAACACACTTTAGGGAGCTTGCTCTATTCGGTCATGGTGTTAGTACATACAGTGCCTGAGAAAGTTCCTTCGAATGATACGCAACCCGGTCGGTCGCCCATGCATTCATAGTGGTCCCGAAGCGGCAACAATTACGCCACGGTAGCCGGCGGATCATGCTGTCGGTTGTCGCAAACCCGGTGGTCGGTGGTAGAAGTTCCGGCAAAAAGTACGAACAAACGCGAGCGTCACTGTCATCGCGCTTCCGTGGACTGGAGAGCGTACCACAACTGGACAGGCGTCTGCCGCACCCACCTTCGCTGTTATGCCACCGCCAGAATCGTGGCAAGTAACAAACAGCATGACTCAGCCAGCACGAGACTTCTACGAAGTCATCGGACAGAAGCCGAGGGACCCTATTTGAGGACCTGTTCAACGCACCAGTCGGAGAAGCGTTCATTCGATCTGCGCTGAACTCGAAGAAATGTGCGAGGGGTACCTCCGGAGAGTGTGGTGCACTGCATCTCCCGAGACGCCGGTCCCGAGCCCGCAGAGTTGAAGGCCCTCACGACGAAGCTGTACACCGTGTTGGGGCTGAGCCTCGTGAAGGCCCTGCTCACGTCCGAGTCCAGGGAGACCATCTCGTAGATGTAAGGGGTGCTGTGCGTTGCCTGCTTCAGGCCCACGTAGAAACCTTTGGGCACGCCATTCCACTGTTCTTCGGCGGGAGACTGCGTCGAACACGGATCAGTGTAAAGTGCCTTCATTGAATCCAGGCGCCCTATACAGCATTCAACTTTTACCAACCTACATACCATGCATGCACAGCCGGCGTATAACTCTTATTGTCGACGCGAGCGATCGATGGCGTCGCTGTGGTCGGCCTGCCACGATTGGCCGAATGCTGACGATGACATCAGCAAAGGATTTCTCATCGACGGAAATAAGACTAGTGTAAGAACTTTAATTTATGCGGAGTTTGCGGCGTTGCTTTGAGAGAGCAATGATTTGAAGCTTCCACCATTATATTTAGAAACACCATCGAACCTGTTGTTCGCGAGGTAACCATAGGAGGGCGCTACCACAATATCTGGCCGCCAATAGGCGGTGGCACTTTTCTAGCGTCTCACGCGTAGACTGTGGGAGTTCGGCATGCGCTTCTCTGTTATTTGGAGCCGGTGGCAGGAAGAGAAGGGTAGGGGATCTCTTTCGATTGGCCGGCCTCAAGCACGCGTTCACTGCCTTTCGACGTGCTATTGGCAGCGCGTGCCCGTTTCGAGCTGACGCCGGAGTATCGTCGAAGGTGAAGCTCGCGCTGGAGGCGAGAAAATTTAAAGAGCTTCCTGCCGTTCTCATACTGTCAGTGACTATAGCTTTCTGCACATGCGCAGTGCCTACGGATGACACGTGATCACGTATCGTAGCTATACACAAAGGTCACCGCAATTGCTAGGGTGCTCGCGCTGCCCGAGAGCTATGCCGCAGAGGCATTTCCTAGAGCTCTCGCGCTCACGGATTTTGCTTTCGAATGGAAAGGACGGGAGCCGGATATTGGCGTAGAGACGTAATTAGAGGTGTTTCAAGAAATGCATACCTTCCAAGATAGCTCGATGCTGGATGCATTGACGGGTTCGCAATCGACATCAGTCGGAGAGGCTTCGGGAGCTGCACGTAAGAAATTCGAGCCTTCAACGCGTATGTGGGTGCTCGAGAGCCAGAGTTACGGTGCAGTTTAAAACCCTCTCGCGATTTCATCATCATGAGGTATGTGATTGTGATTGATCGCTAATGCACAAATATACACATGGCCAGATTAAAATGGCGTCAAAAGTAGAGTCCTGTGGTTGAACGCCGTGGGGATACGCAGCCCCTTACAAACATCGGGCTTTCGAGTTACATATCTTATTGAACTTTGAGTTTCGTAAGATTTTATTTTTTTACATTGTCAAGTTTAAGAAATGCATATATATGCACTATGCGTCGGCAGATTTTTCTGTTACGTTTCCAGGGGGATCGGTGACCGACTGGGCTAACGCACACCAGCTCGGAGCACGTGGAGCAAAAGCTCGCGCTGCAAAACCCAGGGATACTGGGTCCGAGCCCCACCCCTGCCCGTTTCGATCTGGATGAGCATCGTACCGGCGTGCGGTCGTGTATCACTACCGCGTGGTGCACGTTAAAGACCCCAGGCTAGCGATTGTACTGCACTGGCTAAATTGGTCATCTAGAGCCAGTGACTCGTCGTAACTTTGAAAATCGCTGACCAACCTACACGCTGTATAAATATCCACACAACTCCAATTATATCTTACGTTCCCAACGCTTTTTTTCGATGCATCTATAGTTTGCAATGAGCGCGGGTGAGTACCTTCTTCCGCTGTGTAGATGATGATTGCGCCGGAAGGCGGACTCTGTCCCACCGTGTTCTCGGCGACCACGAAGGCCTTGTACTGAGAGCCCGGTCTCAGGTTCATCAGCAGCGTTGAGTGGAAAGCACCCGGGACGTTGCTCTCATAAAGAACCTTGTCCAGACCTGCAGTGCAGGTCGAAAGGAACGGAACACGGCGTATGCGGTAAATTTGTGGCCCACGGTGGTAATAATCGCAACATTTCGACAGCCTATCTTCAGTCGTTGCAGACGCGAGCAATAATTATTTACTTGCTCCAACTCCTCGGCGGTAGGCCCATTGCTGCTTCGTTGCCGACCATTTGTAACACATTGGCCACTGTCCCCATATATAAATTAATTTTTATTCATACTTTAAAAAAAAAGGGGGGGGGGGGAACAAGGGAGGAGAAAACAACAATAACATCGTCTTGTTTCTCGTTCCTGCCATGCAAATTAATAGTATTTACTTTATTACCATAATACTACGAACTACAGGTTAGAACTTCACTAAAATTAAGCAGGAACAACCAAGAGGGCGTCAGCGACGGAGCGGTGGTATCTTTAGGATGGGGAAACTGGTGTTCCAAAGCTTCGCGCGCATCCAAAACAAGATCTAAATTACGCGAGTGTTTGGGGCTGTGGGCTCGTTTTCCGAAAGTAGCAGTTCTGGGATTCCAGTGTAACGCAATGGAATGAATCCCACCACGCTTGCATTACAGTGTACTTGTATGAACCACTCCAATAATCGTGTTGCGCACGCCGCCATTTTTGCCTGCTGCGGCACGTGTTCTGAGCATGCGCAGCTGCGCTCTCTTCCGCAGAATATTAGAAAACGCTCACTCGTCCACAACCCAGCAGCTCAGCATGTTTGTTTTTTGCTTGGGTGATAATCATTTAGAAGGTATGCCAAGCTGAAAAATACAAGCAGCAGCTGGTGCAAACATCCACGGTAAGTTCGTCGGCCACGGCATTTGCATCTTCTTCCCCAAATGTCCATGTATTTTAGTGACAATTTGGGCATAAACGTCAGTGAATAGAAAAAAACTCTAGCCCACGTTTGCATCTTCTTCCCCAAATGTCCATGTATTTTAGTGACAATTTGGGCATAAACGTCAGTGAATAGAAAGAAACTCTAGCCCACGTTGTTTAGACCTTGTTACGCGTGCTTGCACAGCCTGGTCGGCTGGGTGTCTTTTAGCGCGGGCTTACCAGAAAGCTTCCAGTGACGTACAATGTAGCGAGAGATGTTGCCGGTGCTTTGAGACCATTCGAGGTGAGCGAACCTGGTGCCCACTTCCGTAGCCTTGAGCCCCCGCGGAGCCGGTGGGGGAACTATACACATATAAAAAAAGAAAAGAAAAGAGGAAGGTAAAGCGATCGTAAATACCTGTAATGTCCCCTGTGCTTCTTAAATGGCAAATGAGAAGACAAATAGATGTCTCAAAGGGTGGCAATTTTCGCAGCATGTTCTTTTTCACGATATAATAAATGTATGAGTGATGAGCGAGCCCCGATGAATAAGTAACTCATACTAAATCAGAAATATCTCTTTTCCGCTTGAGTTGACCTGCAACTTTTTTTTTTTTTTTTTTTTTAACTCAAAATGTACAATATACAGTGCAAGTATGTATAGCAGGGATGTGTGGTTCGGCTAGTGCGCCTGATCTCGGCCGGAAGCCTCAGTATGGCAGAATGCACGGTCAGTTTAACTTTCAGTCAAGTTGAGATGTGCTACGTGCCCTATAGTGCCCGAGCAGCTGAAAATAATTTGCAATTAAAAAAATTATTTGAAAGTACTCCGTGCCCGGGTAATAGTATTGGAGAGGAGATGGAAATATAGGGAGCCCTTGGCCCAGCTTGTTTCCCACAGAGTTTGGCGTTTATCCACCAACACAAGGCCATTGGACTGGATTCTTGGCGTCATCCGCGTCAAACCGAGCACGGGACAAATCTTGGATACGAATGCTGTGCCAGCGAACTGCTGGGACTTGCTCCGCTGACTCAGCCCGACGCCCACTGGAACACTGACACAGCTTTCGACTACGTCAGCCGAGCGCTGTGTCGTCGAAGCACGAACAAATCATGTTGTCGTCCCCACGGGTTTAGTTATCACCTTATTTACTATGGGCACGACGGTCGCATCTGTTTCCCGGAAAGAGATCCAACTGTACGAACTTACAGAGCACAACCAGGGTGTAAACTGCCTCGTCGGCGCCATACTCGTTGGCTGCGTTGCAGGCGTACGTTGCTGAGTCCAGGCTGTCCACGTCCTTGAAGTGGAGGGTGGACGCGACTTCTGTGTCGGAGGATTGGTGAAAGACCTCTCGTCTGGAAGGAAAGACGTATTGGGGGAGTTAACTAGGCAATCTCACAAACCTTACACTGGGACATTTTTCTGTGCTTTTATGAACATATATTTTGTAGCCGTGACCAAATATATTCGGGGGTCGGTGCTTATAGACAGTGTTAATTATGTGGGCCAAATAATAATATTAATTAAAAAACGAGCTTCATTCTTCCGAAAAAGAACGGCCATTTGTTTTTGGACACACATTCCTTGTATGAAATGCTGTTAAATGATTTTATTTTAAACGCTTATTTCTATGCCTAGATAGCATTGATAACGCTTGTTTCAAAGTTCTTGGCGCACTTTACCGATGTTTCTTTACAGTTATCCATTCGTTTTTAAGCGTTAATAAAATAAAATATAGCAACTTTATTCATAAAGGTGGAAAATGTTGCATATCTATACTCCGTTTCATACATGGCGAATTCTACTTGGCGTTTTGGAGCGCGCCGGGATCAGTTGACCAGATCCGGACCGGAGCACACGATCCGAACGGGGTCGCGCCGCCTACGGATCTCCAGTGAAACATGACCACTGCTCCGGGACCGGCAAATGCCTTCCCGTCATTCAACTGCCCGGGAATCCCCTTTCTGCGGCCGCCGCGGTCGTTTCGAAGACGTTTTCGCAATCGCGGCGCTAACACGTGTTCGACGCACTCGCGGCGGGAATGGCTCAGGCGCTTCTAGTAAAGATTGCCGGAATGCCCGTAGCGCGGCAAATACCTTATTTTCTCCTTCCTGCAAAACGAACCGGCTGTCAAGCGAAGGGGTAAGCAAGCGGCCATTGCGAATTCTTCTGATGTCGAGACAGTCTAGGAGCCCAGCCCGCGACGTGCTTCTTCTTCTTCTGAGGCGAGATGGCGAGATCAGGCGAGATGCCCACGAGAAAGGAATTCACGTGTGTGCGCCGAGGGCTGGCCCGGCTGGCTTCCGGTTGAATCCTCCGAAATCGTGGGAGCGACTTTTCTCGGATCCAGATCGTGATCTGGAGCGGGAGCTAATCCAAAACGACCAGTGAAACACGTCGGCCTCGATCCCGATCGCCCAGTGAAATAGGCTCGCTCCAGAAAAGTCGATCCCGGCGCGCTCCAAAACGAGCAGTGAAATTCGCCATTAGAATATAACGCTGTCAAAGCTACTGGCGCGAGCGGGTGGCTTCATTTATCGTTTCGTTTGTGCGAGAAAGCGTGCAAATAAACTGTGAGATCCAACCCCATCCTCGAGCCAGCAGCTTCGACAGCGTTGTACCATCAGGTTCGAATGAAATGCAAACAGTGACGGAACTGCGAGCCCACTACCAGCGCAGCTTCCAAGCTTGGGTTGTGCTTGGCGAAGAAAGACTTCAGAGTAAAGGCCGGTTCTCACATGCAGCGAAGCGCTGATGTAGCGCTACTCACGTGTCGTCAGCTACTTATCGTCTGCCATGAGCAACAGTTTTGACGGTGCTGTACAAAGCTGGTGGACGCTCCCATCAGCACGCGCTTAGCGCGAGCTCAGCGCTATGCTTGTAGCGCTCCGCCGCTTGTGTGAAAAGACGCACGACCTCGCAGCGCCATACTCCGATGCGTTTGAACCTCGACAGGCAGAACCCAAGCTTAGAAGCTACGCCCAGACTTGTGCCCGTTACATAAAAAAATGTATTGGATTACAATTACAAATCACTGAGCCCCAAATGTAAAGGTCGGGCGTTACAAATTACTTTCGCTGAAAAGTAACGGACTACTTTACTCGTTGCGTTACTATAGTCGGTTACAAGTTAAGAAGCTAGGAGAAGCTCCTTCCACAAGCGTGATGCGCCGGTTTCAAATCATTCCGCAGTCGAAAGAAGAGTTCACTGGAAACGCTTCTTGTTCTGCTTCAATGAATAGATATTGGCTACGGAGTGATGCGAACTTGTCTCCGACCCCACTTTTTAAAAAAGCGACCTTTGTATTCATCGGAGGGAGAACCGAGCCCTTTAAAGCGTCTTTTGTATCCATCAAAGGGGGAACCGAATCCCCGAAAGTCGTATTTGTATCCATCGGAGGGGGAAAACTCTAATCTCCCTCTCGTGGCGTCCACAACGCTAATTCAAAGTCGAAAGATAAAGCAAATATGTACAGAAACGCAAGACCCTCCTCGCGCGTTGGCCGCGACGTCACGGGAATGATGGGACGCTATTGAATGCAGAGATGGCGGAGGGATGTATGGTTCCCTTTGAGGGGCATTTGCCACTACCTTCTTGACATGTAACCTACTATAATTACTTTCACGTCACTTTTCCCGTGAACTTATCGAGAAAACAATAGAAACAATTTTGGTGTTTTCAAAAATGTTCTGCAAGACTACTTCCCATTTCTCATACGCCTGCATTATGATAGCCTTTGTAAAAATTAAATATCGTATCCGTTTACCTTAAGCTGACAATGCAGCGAAAGCTGCAACCGCAGTCGCCATCCGGCTAGCTCACGGCTACCGGAAAATATCCCTGCAATTCTGCAGACAAAGCCAGCGGTCTGCATGCTCAGTAGCAGCGTCTACCTCCGCTAGGAGATGCGCAGGTAAGGAAGCCATCTACGAGCCTTTCCTCTTCAAATGGGCCTTTCAAGCGTGCCTGTAACTTTGACGCACTGTAAGCTTATGCATGAACGGTCGGAGTATAGTTGCATGCGGTACTCAAAATGCAGAGGTCGCATGCCTTGTTTTCTTGATCTTTGTTTTTCGCATATTTGTATATGCATTGCGCTTATTTCTAGTGGTTCTGGTAACCGGTCATACAAAAAATCGTGTTTTCTTCTCGGTTCTTCTCCTTTTCACGATGTCTATTTTGTTGCACTTGCTATCTTTGAGTTGCTGAATTGCCTGCTCAGATTGGCCCAGTTTCAGTATTATGTTCATTTTTTTTTTTAAGTAACGAGTAATTAAAGTAATACGTTAGCAAAAATTGTAACGAAATTACTTGGCAAATTACTGCCGCAAAAAGGTAACGTGACAATGACAAAATTACTCCAAAAAGTAACGGATTACTTCCCAAGTCTGGCTGCGCCGGTAGTGGGCTCGAAGTTTCGTCATTGTTCGCATTTCGTTTGAACCCGATGGTACAAGTGCAACGGGAAAAGAATAGCAGAAGTCGCCGATGACCGGAGCGGCAAATTCGCGACACGCGGCGCTATCGTTCCCGAACGTGCAGAGCCGTATTTTGGGAGAGTTTGGCCCAGGGGTTTTCCCAGGAATTGAAATTAGGGCGGTGTCTGAATTTTTAGGTGAAGGGGCAGTTAGGGGGGGAGGGCATTGAGATTAGAGGAGTCGTTGCGAATTAAGGGGTGTCTTCAAAAAACTAGAAAAATAAAAGGGGAAGGGTGTACCCCCCCCCCCCCCCCTCTTTCCCCCCGTGGGGACATAACTGGTTTGGCCAATGGGCGGAGCAAACGCCGCCGCCAGCGCCGAAAAATCACCCCGTGGTTAGAGCGTAAACTAAAAGTGCGACACAGCGTCGACCTATCAGCAGACCTCGACGTCACTATATTGGAAACGACATTTAAAGCGCAAAATAGAAGCTTTCAATCTCGCAGCAGTAATGATCGCAACTACGCAGTTTACTCCGGTATGGAATGTCTGTTCGTTTATTGTACCGTTGAATATGGACGTAACGAAAGCCTCAGATGCGTCAAGTTTTCAGTGACCAAGAGTTACACTTGTTACACAGCGACAATAAAACGGCTTAAATTAGTCACGTCGCATTTTCAGAGCTCACGACCACCGCTACGGGCTTTTTCGCGGCCTGTGGTTGGCCATGGGATGCCGGCCTCCTTCAAGCCAATGAAATGGCCAAACATACGCGGCTCTGCGAACGCGCCGATAGCGGGCCGATCCTAAAACCCGCATTTCGAAAGCAATCTTATCCTTCACTTTTCGGCCGAGCGTGCCGAGCGATGCACCAACGTGTTTACGCATGTAAGCCCGTTTATTTATTTACTTACTCTTTTTGCGCGGGCGTTGTGAGCGGCGGTATTTCCTTTATCGCTGTTTTGCCCTAAGCCGACAATAGACCCCTTTCGAAATACTACCTTCTGTTGGCAGTTGTGAGATCCCTGCACAAGGACGGACTAAAACCGCAACGCCACGGCACACTTTATGCGTTTGGTTGGACTAGAAGGCGATAACACACCCACATAAAAAGGTCATAAGCGCAGTGACGCCGCACTTTCGTCGCCGTTTGATTGGCTCGTCGACTCCTAACCGCTCACAACGCCCGCGTAAAAAAAAATAATAATAATAATGACCGGACTCATTAACGTAACCGCGTTGGCGTATCGCTCGGCCGAAAAGTAGAGGATAAGAGGGCTTTTGAAATGCAGGCTTTAGAAGGGGCTGCTTGCTGCCGGCCACCCCCACTTTGCAACGTGGAACGTGTGTGGCACTCTCGTTGTCTTCGCGCTCGGGAACAAAGTGGGCCGCGTGTCCCGATTTTGCCGCTCCGGTCCTTGATCACTTGTGCTAATCTTTTTCCGTTGCAGCTGTACACCAAGTATGGAACAGAGAATAGGATATTTTTGCTACCCAGTTCTTTTAGTAATTAGGATGTTGGCTCACTTTTAATCTTCTTATCCAAGCGTAAGACAGAAGGAAAAAAACAAAGTTTTAGTTTAAAAAAAATGCAGTGGGGGCTGGTAAAGAGGCATTGCCCACCGAAAGCATATACGAAAGATAATTTTTATTTGCTTCGTTTTTTTTTTTTTTTAACTGTTGGGTTGAAATTTACAAGAAAACGTGATATACTAGTGGTTTGTTTTCAGAAAAGTCCTTTCAGCAAAAACGGATCTCGGCAATTGTGCTTGACTTCATAAATCGGCGAGAAGTTGTCGCCCTCACTTGGACGTTTCAGAGAGGTTGCTGGTTCCTCCATCTTTGGTCCAGGTCACTCTGATCGGCTGGTCGCCCGTGACGTTGCAGACCAGGGTCACCGTCTCGCCCTTACGGACTATGACCTGCTTTTCTTTCACTGTGATCTTAGGGGGCGCTGGAACAGCACACAAAAAGGAGCAGACAATCAGCTCAATTGGCTATTCAAGTTAAATACCGCATCCTGCAGCCTCCATACTATGTTTATATCTCTTGGTAATCTGCATCTGATCAGCCTTCTATCAAAGGCAAAGGTTCAACAGGTTGAATAAGCCGCCGATTGGCCGCGGTACAACGCCGAACTGCATCACGCTGCTCCATTTCAACAGGCAGCTGCAGCAACAATACCTGGCCAACCGTGATTCGTGACGGTGATTCGTGGCCGCTGAATATATTTAGAGGCTTAAATACGTACAGGGAAACTCTCTGTCGGGGAATAACAACGCTCTATTTCCCGTGATTTCAACAAGTATACTTGCTGCATTTGCATCTGGTATTGTTAAAGCACACAACATCCACAGTGCAGTTCACAGTGAACAACTTGAAAATGCACACATCCTCTACAAGATAATATATTGTTAGGAAATAAGAAGAAGTGAGGCTCAGCCAAAAAGGCCCCCTCATCTCGTGCAGCAGCGGGAACGTTCGAGGTGTGCTCGGACGGTTGCTCCAACTATCGAACTGGCGACACCAACATAGTCAACCTGTCTTCATTGTAATAAACCTATTTATTCACCAAGAGCCTGACAACATATATATACATATATATATATATAAGAAGTCGTTAAAGGAGTTTAGGTTACTTTCTGTTCCTTTCCAAGTGAACAAAGATTTCCGCCGTAATTTTCAGAGCGGAGGAATCTGCGTACGTGGCGCAGACTCACCATAACTTCACAGCCTGAGACTAACGCCGGTGAATGAAGTGAACTAATAAACGTTACTATAGACGCTTTACACACGCGCCAAATTACAGCCGCCATTGCTGACCTTCTCTTGTCTTACCGAGATGCCGAGAAACTGAAACGGTAGTTGACGATCCTCTACAAAGGCCAATGCTTTAGAAAAGGACACAGTTGAATCTAATATGGCAATAACCTAGCCTGCTATGGTAATGATGAAGTGAAATAAACAAAAACTGAAGGTTAGTTATGGCGGCGTCCATGCACAGCTGTTGCAAAGCGTCTATGCTCTATTTCACTTTATGATGTACCGCAGGAAAGGCTACAAGCGCGAGCTCCTTGCTCTAGGGCACATGTCGGCGGCACACGCTCTCACGCATTCAGGGCAGCTGCCAAGGCTGTGAGTTCCCGCGTCTAGCCTTCGCTGCGGTACAACATAAAGTGAAACAGAGTATACTTTACTGCAGGTTATTCAAAAACATGGTAGCGCATGAGACGAGGACAAAGTAGAAGACTAGACAATACAGGAACGTTCCGTCTGCGAGTAAGGGAAGGCTGAGGAGGAGGATAACGTTGTCGGGCGAGGCGTAGGTCAAGGTGAATCGGGTACGAGAAAGGGGCTGCAGGGTCGGATAGTGACAGAGTGTTCCCCCTAGGTGTCCGGTGTGAGAGTTCTCGGGCGAAACGCACGAGCGCACTTATTGCCGGGAACGGCTGGAAAGAGTGGGACGTGCAGGATACGAGGGGTCGATTAGGCCGGAACGCAGTGGAGGGACGCGTTGTAAAGGTTTGTGGTACGCACGGCGGCGCTGTGCGTATACCACATCTGCCGCGTATGGCCCACGTGGTATACAGTGACGCCGGTGCCTGCAACAACTTACCTCTCACCTTCAAGGAGACGGGTCTCTGTACATCGGGAGGCACTCCGTTGTGCGCCTGGCACACGTACGAGCCCTGGTCAGACCTCGACACGGACTCGAGCACCAGGGAGGAGTTTTCGGCCACCCGGACCCGACTCGTCTTGACCACCGCGCGGTCCACGCCGTCCGCTGTGTGAAGCGGCGCCAAAATAGCAGATAATGGGAGCGAGAACAATGACGCTCACCGTACAGGGTGTCCCCCCCCCCCCCCCTCTCCAAAAAAATTAATAAATTACGTTGTTGTTGTTAGCTTAAAAATTTAACGACGAATCACCGAACGCCGAGTCTGCAAAAAGACAGGCAGGGCGTCTCGTTTCCGAAGCATCCTATCATCACCCCACAGCCAATAAGATAGCGGCGTCAGACGGTAAGTAAGCCGAGCAACCAATCACGGGGCGGGATCATCATAGGCCACGCCCCGGGTTTCTTAGTTGTCAATGACTACGGCAGTCCGAACCATGACGTTAGAGTTCGAGACTTACCGTTATATACAAGTTAAAAATTTATAAAGCGAGTTTCAGAAACTTTCAAATGGGAAAAAGACGGCCGACAAAAAGCCTCACGACCACGTGCAGCCGAATGGCGTCAGCTACCGAGAACGGTGCCCCATTTGCCCACTGATTTCTTTTTGCGTGTTTGACGCGATGGAGTCGTACCCAGGAAGCAGCGGCAGCATGGAGTCACGGACGGGGATAAACGCGGCATTTATTTGCGTCAATAAATGCGTTTTTTTTAGGCCGAATCGTGTGAAAATATGTATACAGAAATTCTTAGTAATATCCTAGAGATGTTTATCTTCTTTTTGATACCCGATCTCAAGCTCACCTTATAAACTGTATTTAAAAAAAAAAAAAAAAAAAAAAGCGGTATCGCATTTTATGTTGTTTTGCTCATTTTGTTACTGGAAGTTACTGAGAAATTTGTAGTTTAACTTCGCAAGTAAACAAATGAGCATTCTAAGTGAGGTGTCAGATTTAACGCTAATGGAGGTAACTTTGAATACGCATTTCTACACACCAAAAACATATACTCAAAAGTTGCTTTCTCGTCATTTTACGCATCTTCGCATACACTTTTGGAGAGAGGACATCTTCGTGATTTGTCACTTTGCACAAATCTTGAAACGGGAAAGTGTCATGCTCAAGTTTATTATCCACCGTATCCTTTGTTTGTTCTGCTCCTTGAGGTCAATGGCACAGTTTTATGTTGGTGGGCGCGCTCCTAGCTTTCGCCTGTTACTCGAATGGCAGCCTTGTTTAATGGCGTTTCATCACCTTTAATAATAATAATAATAATAATAAATATTATTATTATTATTATTATTATTATTATTATTATTATTATTATTATTATTATTATTATTATTATTATTATTATTATTATTAATATCACGTGCCCCAAAACAACCGACAGGTCCTCTCTTTGGTGCCCAGAGTCAATCAGGGGTAAAACAAACCTAAAACAGAATGCAGGTTTCAAACACAAAGCGGTATAAAACACACACAACATTTACAATTGGACAACAAGCACTTTCACTTGCTTCACGAACACCATAATGTCACTGAATACAGTATATGAATTTCCACATTTTCAACACCGTTAATCAAAGACCGTGTCCGTGGCAAAGAGGAGGGTTTACAGACAATGTGAACGTTGAAAGCAGTATGATTTCTGGTGGAACGGTCAGGAACATGCATATTCCCATCAAGTAAAAGCGAACCACTGTCTGATACGCTATTTACAATCTTGTACAGGAAAACTAAATCGCGCTCTGCTCTTCTATCGGGCAAAGGTACCACCGAAACCTTAAGAACTAAAGTATAGTCAAAATAAAAACGAGGTTGGAAGCCAACGCCATTTTTTTACAGGTTTTTGACTTTAACATGTTTGCGGCATGTTTTTTTTTAACTTTAACTGACATGTATGTGCCTTTAAGCTACTAGTATTTCAAAAACTCAGTAATGTCAAAACAATAGAGTAGGTTATGCGATATTGTTTTCTTTATTGTTAAACTTTTTTCGTGCTTTTTTTCTTGTTTTTTGTTTTTTTGTAGTATACAGAGCGTTTGATGTGCCTGTGTGTGTGTGTTCCTTTTTCCTCTATGTTGTGATGCACCAACGGGAAAGCATGTGGCTGTTTGGAGGCTGCATCAACAAATAAACGTCAACACTAATGGGACTAGGGCCAGATGTGCACAAGCGGACGCAGGCCCCACTCTATGCTACTTCCACCTAACGATGAACCGCAGCAGAAGCGGTATACATACCAGCCATCGGAGCCTTTCCAGTGCCACGTCAGAGGGTCAGAGTCACGTGCCCTCTCGGAGGGACCGGGGGTGGGGGAGGTTACGTGATATGCTGAAAGTGCTGGATTGGCCAGGACGGCTCTTGGCGTCCGCTGCGACCCCTTTCCAACTGGAAGGGTTGCCACCCGTCTCATATTTCAAAGCTTCTGGGTATGGCATGTGGTTTCTGCCTAAGTGCTTGCTTTGTACTTACTAAAACTCTCGGCAAGAGTTCAAGCCGTAAAATTCGGTGTAGGCTGAGTCATCCCTGGCTGGCCTTGGGGAGGATAACACTCGGAACATCTACTCACTCTACTATCCAAGTAGATGGTGTAGCTATATACGATCTCTCCCCTTTGAATCCTTTACTGCTCAAAATTTGTCATGTGACACCTTCGGCTAGCACGGGGATCGTCCCAAACAAAATCACGCCACCGCACTTGAGGCACGAGACGAAGAATTGTGACGTCCGAACTTCTCTTCCATTTGCTCGCGTGGCGATGCCACTTCATTGAAACAAAACTTGCCTCTGAATTTCGTTTTTTGTTGCAACGAACTATAGCTCTTCTTGTGTTGATGTTTCTTTGTTTTGGTCGCCTCGTTCCCATTATAGTCGCATTTCTGGTACACGAGTGTTGTGGGACGTAGAGCAACCGTCATACCGCAACCGGAGAAGAGAGAAACGAGCGATGCGCTGTTCTGCGTCTCACGCGTCTCCAGTGTCGTCCTGAACTGGATGACACTAAAAACACTCAAACTTGCAAAAAAAAATTAATTTGACGTTTGTGTTTATACAGAGTAAGGAATTAATGTGGCCTATGAGGTGGGGCGACACTGGGTTACGCTGTAGATGAGAAATTTAGTCGGTGCAGTACAACAGCTAGCCTGGGGTCTTTGACGTGCACCACGACCGCACGCCGGTACGATGCTTATCCCGATCGAAACGAGCAGTAGTGGGGATTCGCAACTTTCAGCGATTTTGGTATACTGTGGTGTAAAAATCGCGCTTCCTATACCTCCTGGATGATGGATTTGACAATAAAGGTGCTTGCCTACACCTTCCTGACGTGAAAAAAATAAAGTAAGGCACTATGCTTTGTCTCACCTTAGCATGGACTAACTGCAAAGGCAGTTCAAAGGCATTCACACTCACAGACTATTGCTTCAACTGCATGAGGCAAAGAGGTTCGTTGCTATTATTCGGGAATAGTGCTTTCATTGCACACAATAGTATCTGCTGCCTTAAATGGACACTTGCACGGCGTTGAAGTGACCGGGACACGTGAAACCTTCTGCCCCCCCCCCCCCCCCCCCCCCTTTTCTCTGGAGTTACAAATCTTGCCCCTACAGTTTACCTTAGGTTAATCTTTCACCCAAAGCTTGCCCTTTATACAGGTGTTCTCGTCCACGCCTGCGTGGCGAAAGCGTTGAATTTTTACTTTCTTTTGGTTCGTCAAAATTGTACCGATTAAAGGGCTGAAATAAAGTAATCGCGATTAACTCATTAATTTATTAATCAGTCGGTTAATCCATCAATTTTCTAGCCCTAGATGAAACGGAGTATAGCCAGCATATCGAAGTGGATATAGCCCTCCATGTTTAACCTAAAAATAGGCGCCTGTTCTCCCGTAGTTCGTTCACCAGCGTGAGAATTCATGGAAGCTCCAGCAGCCGGAAGTTGGAACTCCGCGCCGACAGTGACACTTGTGTTCGCTCGTGCTTTTTGCATGAACTCGTACGATCAACCGCCAGGATCGCCACATCTGACGACATGAAACGCCAGCGCTGGACACGCTAACCTCGGTGAAGTGATTTGTTGCCATTCCTGGGCCACTTTCGATATGGGCGGTATAGTCGAAGACGCGTTCGAGGCATCGTAATAAAACTGCATATCAAGATGCATCGCGTCTTGTGGTCCCGATGGCAACCTGTATCGCTCACCATAGCGGCGTCTCCAGAGGATCTGCGGCTCGGGGTAGCCTCCGGCAGAACAGGAAAGGACAGCTCGTCGGCCTTCGAGCACCTCGACAGGTTCAGGATCGGCCTTCCAGAATGGAGGAACTGCGAGCCGCAAGAAAGTTTCTCGGTTTATCTCGTTTCAACTTAAAAGGACCATGAAATGATTTTTCAACTTCTTCATTCCTTCTTAGCTTTCCTCCTCAACTCAAAAGCGAAAGGAGAAATCACGCGGTCGTGGTGTGCTTGGGCACAGGTACGATGACTCGAAGCTTCCACCGTCCTCCTTAAAGCACACCATGGAACTTGCCATTCGCAAGTGATGATAAGTGCCGTCACGGCACTCATCGGCCACGAACGGGAATTCAAATATTCGTCGACGGATTGATCGTTGACGTGAGACGTCGGCTTCAACACAACATACCACCCCTTTTCGCTCAGAGAGGCAGGCGGTCGAGCTATGCCATGACATGTCGGCGCCTGAGCACCGTCGGGATGCCGATTGCACATGCGTCAGCGCTCAACACCCAAAAAAAGCAGCGCACGTTTTATTTTTCTTATTTTTTATTATTAGTTGTCTAGGTTTTGACGGCGTCGTCGTGTCAACCGTCGTCGAAGTTCCCAGAGTGCACGGTCAAAAACAAATTAGTCGTTAGTTGTTTATACAGCAGGAGTTTAGTCTGCCAGAACATAGCGACATTGTTACCCACTGTAGATAAGCAATTTAGCCAGTGCGGTACAACCGCTAGCACCACGCAGTAGTGATACACGACCGCACGCCGGTACGATGCTCATCCAGATCGAAACGGGCAGGGGTGGGGATTGAACCCAGGATCCCTGGGTTCTGCAGCGCGAGCTTTCGCTCCACGTGCTCCGAGCTGGTGTGCGTTAGCCCACTCGGCCACTGATCCCCCAGTGCACGGTCAACTTGGGAACTGTGTACACCACGAGAGAAGACTTGAAGGAAAAGAGGAAGCGAATGGATGCCGCTGCTGTGCAAGGCGCGCGGTTGCAGAATTGTCGTTCGGTTTGGTTTGGTTGTGACTATATGTGCTTGTCTTTGATATTATTTGCTTGCTCAAGCCTTATGGAATACACTATTGGTACCAGAGAGTTATTTTAAAGGTGAGAAAAACCCCATTTGCTTCTCCAGCTTCCCACGTGAATGCTGGAAGCTGTGAGACTTTAATTGCTGTGTATAAGTTTAGATATCTCTTTTTTATTATTATTATCATCACTGTTATTTAGTTTTACTTTGGAAACAACTTTTAACAGTTATATAGCGCTAAAATGATGAACGTTAAGTATTTGAGGGCAAAATATTGACAGCTTTTGTCAGCGCTGTGTTGGTTGAGCTTGCTCCTCCTACACATACACAGTGTTCTGAAACTAACTGTATTGAAGTCTGTAAAGTGCAACAAATAGCGCAAAAGTACTTCACAGGTGGCAAGTGCAATTGGCAGCCTCGCGAGAGTGCTCTGTGAGCTGTTGCGCGAGTGTGATGAAGCAGACGTATTCCTGCGAAGTTTGTGTCGTGGTGTAAGAGAGCCATTTGACTAATATACATGTCTATAAATAGGTCTGTTGAAGCTCAGAAACAAAATATTTGAAAAATAAATTAGTTGCTCTGGTAGGCAACACTCCTGAACTGCCTTAAGTTTCGTTGAATCACGTTTTCTCCTACTCGACAGCTCGAGACCCGGGCACGCACCTGAGTGATAGTGTTAGTGGACAGTGTGCAGGCGAGCTTGTGGAAGTTTATTCTTACCATTGATCTGTTCTGTGGCGCAGTGGATCTGCATATAAAGGTGCTTCAATGAAATGTATTAGCTGAGACGTGTTGGTCCCTGTTTAGTTTTTCTACCACTGTCAGAAAGTTTCTACCACTGTCAGAAAGTTTGTGTAAGTTATAAAAATATTTTTTTCCTGCCCCAGTTCCGGGTACATGTCGTGATAAACTACCGTACATTCCGTACTATACTCTCACACCGTGTATAGTCCGCACGGGCAAATTTGGGATCAAAAATAAAAGTATATGCTTAAATAGTCCGCACCCGGTACATAGTTCGCACCCCGTGCATAGTACGCACCTAGCGCCTAGTCCGAACGTAAAAAGTATTATTATCATACACGGCACACATTGACAAATGCCTACTGTATTAGCTCACAAAGAAGCTTTATCATACATAAACCAGAATGAATATAGTCCGTTACTCATAAAATCCTTCACGACCTGTCACACTGAACGATGTAAAAAAAAAATCTTTGTATAGACCGCACCTGTAGATAGTAAGTCCACTATTTGAACCGCTAATCATGCCATATTATGACTTAAACAAACCACCCATGTCTTCGTTTACAGCTGGCATGTTATCTAATAGAACAAGGTTTGACTATTAAACGTCGTTTATACGGGGGTTCGTCCACGCTAGCAGTCGTTTTTCTTTTTCGCCGACCACGAGGCGCCCGATATCCTTCTCCGCAAAAAAATATGTTTCCAAGTCCAAATATTGTTTACAGATCTACTTTTAGCTCACCAGGCGCGTTTTTGTTCACTAAAACTCGGTTGTGCGACGGCAAATACACGCGCGATTCGCTCACTTCCATACAGTACCGCGGCGTCCGTCAGCCAACGCCCGTGACGTCACCGGAGGAACACTGCGGCCTTGTCTTCTAGGAGGTGTTGGACCCGTCGAGTCGAGGAGGAAAGCAGGCGTGAGTTCTCATCTTTTTTTCGTGGAAAACTGGAGACAACAAAACAATTCTTGCTTCGGGTTCTACGAACATTAAAGATTTGGGGGCTCTTCATTACGAAAAAGCTGGTAAACCATTTCGTGGTCCTTTTAGCCCTAGACCAGCTAGGCCTAGACGCAGCCGACAAGGTAATGGGACCAATCAGGCAGCGGCAAAAGTGCAAGTCACTAGGTGTTTTCCGTTTATGATTGGTACAGCGATGATAGAGCACATAAACATAAACACGACGAACACCATGATGATGCGCTTATGACGCTCTTTGATCGGTCCCACCAGCTCGTGGCGTCTGCTGTGTCAGCTTTCAAATACCGATGTCCGGCTTCCATGCATTAAAAACGTCCTCGAGTTCACTTTCCCGCAGAACACAGAGACGTCCAGTCACGATGAAGAATGGGAGAACTCAAGCGAATGACGAATCTCAGAATATATCTGATTGGACCCAAAATTTGCGATATCCGCAAAGGCAATAAGCATGCCGCTTCACTCGCTCCTTGGCCCTCGCACATTGGACTCTTCGGATCTAGGCAACACACTAGAAAGTTTTAGAGAACCGTCTAGAGAACGATAGGCCCTCCGGTACGAACAGCGCATATGGGAGCTTTCTATGGCAGCGCATGCGCAGTGCGTACCGGAGGGCCCATCGCACTGTACGGTGTGTGCAAAAACGGTTCCCTAATAAAACCGGAGACACGGAAACCAAAAAGGATGTAGTACGCACAACACCGTCTCGGAGCACAGCTCACGAGCTCACCTGCGCCCTCAATCTTCCTTTGGATCTAATCGTATTTCGAGCTTCGTCATTGGTTGGGGGGATCCTTCCGTTCTTCGCCGTAATTGGTTCGTTTCCATGTTCTGCAGCAAAGTATAGCTCACGAACGTTTTCTTAGAGCGCAGCACTCGAGCGGTTGCCGAATCGAGAGTGTATATAGTCACGCGACAGCCGAAGAAATGAGGGGAGTGGAGAGTCCCCAGCATCTCATTATTCCTCCGCAGCCAACGAGATTGCGGCATTAGCCGATCAGAACGCCCAAGAACCAGTCACAAAAGCAAGATAATCATTAACGCAATAAGCCACGCCCCGTGTTTCTTTAAGCCTCAAACGTGTCCAAAGCACGTCGCTTCATAAATGTGTACGCTACGAACATGCCTACAGACGGTTTTTTGTATGTAACCGAGGGGACTGGATCCTTGGGCAAGGAAGGCCCCGGACTGTAGGGAGTTTTAGGGAACCGTTTTTGCACATCTGATGCGGTACGATTTGGCCCTCCGGTACGAACTGCGCGTGTGCGAATCTTCTCCGGTAGTGCAGTTCGTACCGGAGGGTCAAATCGTACTGTATCTGATGTGCGAAAGCGGTTCCCTAAAACTCCCTAGTGTCTGCAGACTATAGAGTTTCGAATAGTCGGCTGCAGGGAAGCTCCTCCCACACTATTTTTCCTCTATTAGCCCCGAGAAGTTCGCCTGGCGCCCCCTTACGGCGAACCGGGGTGACGTCACGGCGAGGAGAGAATTTTTCCCCGACTCACCCCGCTCGCCCTGTGGAGGCTGTGACGACGCCAGCTGTCGGCGCGCTCGTTTCTATTTAATTTTTTTTTTTTTGTGTGTTTTTCGTAGGAAGTGTAAATTTTTATATATGCCTTTATTGAGGTATGGCCTGTAGCTACAGGCGAAACTTCAACGAACATTTTAATCATGGCTGCCAGGCCAGGCAACGCATGAACCACAGCTGGTATGTGAAAATAAAGAAATATGGCCACAATTGCAGGGGCATCACTACAGATTTACATCTAGCACAATAAACGCTGCTGATGGTCCGAATGAATCGGCAAATTATATATACTATTTTTTTTTTTTTGTATCTGTGTCTTTAAACAAGATCGCCGAAGCAGAAAAGCTGATGCTGCTCGAGCAACGTGCTAAATACAGTCTCGGCCATGGGGAGAGAATCACAAGTAAGACAGCCCAAGTGCAGGGGCAAAGTAAGAAAACAAACAAGGAACATTTATTATATACATTGCTCGCACTTGACCTTTGCTGGATTCGGATAGTATTTCAATGGACTACACGGGTGATATATGTGGACTTGTTTATATGAATCCTCAAGTAATATATAACAAACGTAAGTTATGGTGCCTAGCTCGTTATTAGTCCATTAAGCCCTAAAATTGAGATTTTACTTAAATCGAATTGTCCTGAAGCTAAAGTACCAGAAGCTTTTCTCACGCAGACTGTCGCCCTTCACAGGTTCCACATTTTCTGCTACCAGTGCTGCATCTACCACTGGACAGACGTTCGAATGCTTGCTTTTACTCCTGTTTTCCTCTGTTGTCAGAGAGTCCAGTTGCAGGGAGTTTGGAGGCTGAGGAAGCTTTTGGGGACCGGCGGCAGTGACTCTTAAATGGAAATGACAATTCAGACTAAACGGTGTATTTTCTGAATACCAAAGGCTGGAATAAAGAATGTCAGGAAAACGTATAAACATTCCAAATTACGGCACTATTGCTGTGCATATTTTGGGCAGTTTGCTACATATCATAGAGGCAACTGGGGGAAATTCGGCCGTTTTTGCTGATACCATACAAACTAATTTCTAGTAATTGTGAATCCTCTAAGAAATATGCCTGCATACGCGTATAAACTATATAATTGATTCAGGAAGATGCTACATTTATGTAAAACAACCCTGTTCCGTGAGCACTTCAAAGATCATCAGACGCAGGGCCTTTAAAACGTCTGCAAACCAGCGCATGCAGAGTGGCAGCGCAGAGTCGGGGTCGCGAGCTAATTTGCCGACTACCTAAAGGCCCATGACATAAAGGCCGCTTCAGATGCCTTGAAAGCGGGATGTAATATCGTCCTAAATCATGAACATGCAAGGAACAGAATTCCAGCGTCTGAAACACTTGCGTCACCGCTTCACCGACCCCTCTCAAGATTGCCTTGCGTCGTGTGGACGGACGGGGAGGTTCATCGGCGTAATTGCCTCCGCCGATAGTTTTCGGGATTTGTAACCCAATTTTAAAGGTAAAAGGGATAAGCAGGCTTATAAAATGTACGGAAGCACGTTAATATCGGCCTAACTCAACGTCTTGCACATCGGGTAAACGAAGTCCGGCTCCTCGAAGAGCTTGCGGCACACAACGCCAAACCAGGAAACCGGTGCTGGGAAGCGACCCGATGCGAGATCGCGGAGCGGGGTACTCGCGCTGACGTCACGGTACACCTCAGCCAATCAGGGCGCGGCGACCGCAGCGACGCTTGTGTTCGCTCTCGGGGCTAATAGCAGAGCCAACGCTGGAAAGGACCTCCCTTCGAGCGTTCGCTCTGCCAAAAGGGGAAAGAGGTGGGAGGATCTTCCCCTCTGAACTTTTAACCTGTATGTCACCTACCATAGTCGGTATGTGCTTCTTTACCTGTTCAGCTCGCTGAGACATTTTAAAGCCACACTGTTAATACGTCGTAAAAAAAAGAGACACCCTGCACTTACTGTCTGATGTGTGTTTCTTGTATGACGTCACACTGACAATACAAAAACAGTCTATACACACAATTTTCAAGTATATGAAGCAAACATGCTTTAAATGTGCTTGAGGCGCGTCGGCACATCATTCGGACATGGTATCTGCAATGAACACCGTGTCTTTTTTTTTTTTTTTTGTACGTTATATGATAAATGTGGCTAGGGCTTTGGAAAACGTATCCCCGTCCCACCTGGAAACCTGAGGAACGCCTGAAACTTGTCCGTCCCCGCAGGGTTGTCCACAACACAGGTGTAGTTCCCAATGTCTCCGACGTGCAGTCTCCGGAGTACCAGGACCGAACTCTCGGGACCCACGTCCACGCTGACGTCACCGGAGTCCTCTTGTGACGTCAACGATGACGTCAGCTCGACGTCATCTTTGAGCCAGGTGAAGCGGAGAGGAGGGTCGCCTTCCGTGACGGTGCATGTCAGCCGGATCCGCCGGTTCGGCTGCGGTCTGCTGGGAAACTGGAAGGGCTGCACCTTGGGAGGATCTGGAGCACGGCCAAGGAGCCGTCGCAGAAAACGAAGAGAGCGGCGATCAAAGTCAACCCAAATACTTTACAATACTCTATTTCATCTTATGATGTACCGCAGAAAAGGCTACAAGCGCGAGCTCCTTGCTCTACGGCCCATCTCGGCGGCACAAGCTCTCGTGCATTTAGGGCAGCTGCCAATGCTATGTGCTTGCGCTTCGCTGCGGTACAACATAAGGTGAAACATATTCACTCCGCTCGTTTGCCTTAGACAGCGCACCCACAACGCCAAAATCCTTCTTGGCATGGACATGCAGCGTGCGTCCGAGAGGACACGTGCACATTGTGCTGTAACTAAACGACGCGTACTTTCTGTAAAAGGGTTACAATATTCAATTCGCGCTAAACTATTTTGTAATTGAAATTCAACCAAAACAAAAAAATCACCCCAATAAAGACGTGATTGTCTGCTTGAAAAACAGGTTACTCGTGGACGTGTTTGCTAAGATTCTGACTCGAGGGCTAAGCCTTCTTAGGGTCTTGAATACTTGTCTTGAGCAGTGAGCTCAGTTATTTTGTACTACAATATGGCCTTTTGCAGTACAGATGCAACGGGGTAGCTGGTCGATACTCATAATCGAAACTTTTTGCGGGCATAGAGATATTACAGTTTGTCTACTATGGCTTCCTTTAATCGTATTTATTGCCTTTCTAGTGCGCCAGGGGGCGGTAGTCTCGCGGCGAAACCTTTCTTCACGAGCTGAAAAACTTCTTGGGGCGTCGAAGAACCCTTCAAAGAGCGGAATTTTTTGGAGTGAAGATTCTGTCTTAAAATGTCCCCAAATGCATTAATTTATAGTAGTGATGGAGCAACAGATTCTTATGTTTCCCCACGCATATTTAAACCAGTAAAAATAAAATCCCGTAAACTACGAAATTTTATATTCTTAAGGGCGTATAAAAGGATGTTCTAGAGACTTCCACCAGTGGTTGTACCCTTTCAGCCCCCTTGTTTTGAATAATGCGGACTTCTAAGCCGTAACTTAGGGTGCTGTTTCATGGGCCCTTTATTTCTAAAGGGTGCTTAAGAAGGACGTGGAAAAAAAGAAGTGTCACGGGGAAGGGAGGCAAACTTTCTGAAGGGTGTTCGCAACACGAACGCTCGTTTCAGGCAGCTTTAGCGGATGTTGTTTTAGTGATTATTACGAATGACAACGTACTTTAACTTAACCTTCATAATTGCGTAGACGGTCATCTGTGAATAAGAGAATTGTCGGGTACAACCTATAAAGCGCCGTTCACTTCACACATATGCAACCGTGTAAGACCAAGAGACCAGACCGGTTTTTAAGCCTCTTGCAACGTCTTAGGACCAGCTCCGCTGCAGCGCATTCGGTCCTAAGATGTCCCAAGAGGCTTCTGAGCTCCGTCCTACTCGGTTGCAAGTGTGTGAACGGCGCTTGAGTTAGGATTAGACAAAGGGTACCGAAATACTTTGTGATCGCGCTGAGTTGAGTGAAAGAAAAGAAACAAACTGGGGGGGGGGGGGGGGGACTTGTTTCGACGTTTACGACCAATTCGCTTCAGCGAAATCAAGTTTTGTCGTAGTTTTCATGCAGTTCCACGATGCTTTTATTTGTTCTGTGACTAGTCAAAGATGGCGAGTAAAATTCTGAAAGTCTAAAGAGCCCTTTTCTGACGATGCTTCGTCAATAACTTCATCTAAGCGTCTTCACGATTTATCAAACTCTCAACACGTCCACTTTGTTTTCCTCTTCCGCGTAATTCAAAATTCTTTAGAAGTAATTTTTATTTTTAGAATTATTTTTTTTGTTGGCACGAAATATGGGCGTAAGGCAACAATGGCGAGGTGGTTCGCCAGAAGTTTATCTTCTTTTGTATCTTTCTTATCTGTGTGAATTCAGTACAATAGGATGCTATGGTATACTACGCATGCAACGGAATGAATGTGCTGTGTGAGACAACCAGTCCTATCTTGTTTCGTGGAAACGCGGGGTTTTACATAAAATCATCATCATCAGCAGCAGCAGAAGGGACGCGGGAAAAAAAAAAAACTACTTGCGATGGACGCCACCACCCCTCCATATTTGTATGCTGTTCGCGAGCATCGTCGTGGTATTTGCTGCAACACCCCCAAGTTGCAGTCACACTGCACATACATGATGACAGTATTATCTGCAGGCACGCATCGAGCGAGTACAGAGCATGTTTGCCGCATGCATATGTATGCTTAGAAGTTCTCCGCAGACAGTGTTTATGTGACCAATTTCACATGGCCGTCATACAAGAAAGACGTCAAACGTTGTCTCTTTGGGATAGTATATCAGCATGCGGCTTTAAGCTGATCTACGATATCTGTTCTCTTCGGGTATTTTCAAGATAACGCGGCACAGTGGTGTCCAGTTCAACCTCCTTTTTGTCGTTATCTTCAAGCGGTATACCAGGTATTTTAATAATCGCCACAAACTCCCGCAACGATCAGCATACTGTTCAAGAGGACCACCGTCGGGCCGTCGACCTCAATACGTGTCGTGCAATTGAGACGCAAAAGTTACAGGTCAGGGGTGCTATGTTGCGCTTTTTGCACTCCCAGGAGACTTGGAAGAAGGAAGTGACGTTAACGACTAGAGCAAACGCAGATTGAATGTTAACAGAAGAAAACAAAATCAACATCCAATCTGCATTTGCTACGTTGTTGACGTCACCTCCTTCTTCCAAGTCTCCTGGGAGTGCAAAAAGCGCAACATAGCACCCCTGAACGTCGTCGTCGGAGCAAAATGTTGGAAGCGATTTGTCGGACGCATGTGTTAAAGGGGAACGTGCGTTCGCTTCATCCCCGTCGACGGAGACTAAACCGGAAGTGTCGATGGACGTTCGCACGTGTGCTGGGAGAGGAAAACTTGTGAGGAAAAACAAACAAACAGGAAACTGAGAAATAGAAAGAACAAAGGCGTCGCTTCAAGGAAGGCGCCATCCACGTTTTTCGTCACGCCCGGCCACGCGCCATGCCCTTTCTTTGTGTTCTGTTTTTTTTTTACAACGTTTGGTTATTTAGCATCTCAATCGCACGATGTTCGCTTCGCGGTGGTGGCACTGGCGAGTGTGTGAAACTCGCTGGGTCACGCCCGAACCTCCATCACAGGTGTCGCTGGCGCACGTGCGAATTAAGCCCATCTGCAACCGATCACTTAGTTGGGGGTTTCGTCTGCTACGGAGCCGTGATTTCCTCGCCCGCCTCATTTTGATCGTGTGCAGCGCTGCTACAAACTCGTTTTGTGTTTAACAGCGCACATTTACCTCTAAATTGCTCTCTCCCTCTCTTTCTCTCTCTCTTTAGTTTTATTGTAAATATTTTGGCAGTGTCCATGTACAGCGTGTCCCCCTCCGCCCCCCCCCCCCCCCCACACACACACAGACACAAAACAGCAATAAACAACACTTACAACGTCTTTTTTTTTCTTTTTTTGTTGCAAAAATGAACTACGTATGGCTTAAGGCTCATTCTCCTCCCAAATGTAGCGCTAGCGTTTTGAACCAGATGGCAAAGTTTCAGCACGAACTGTTATCTTATGCAGAAGTTATATGTGTTTTCCTGAAAATTTCGACAGGAAACATGCGGCCCATTTTCACCCGCTGTCGGTAACTGGCACCATATGTAACTCTGCCGGCGGCCGCCATTTTCCGGCTGAAATTTTCAGAGAATCACTCGAAACTTTTTGAATAAAGGGTATACTTCGGAATCCGGGCCGGAATCCGCCTTCAAAACGGGGACCCTCCCTAATGAGGGGGAGAGGGAGGGAGTCTCACGCTGATTGCAGTGATAACGTGGGGAGCTTTTGGTGGGTGGGGTGGTCCGCTCCGTATGCTAAGAAGGCTGCGGTCATTATGGTAGAGAGGAAGGGGGAACGGACGGGTCATTATGGTAGAGAGGAAGGGGGAACGGACGGGTCTCGGGAATGTGTGGAAGGGTTGGAGGGGACAGGTGGGGTGGGAGTGATACGACCTCGGGCGACCTCGTCAAGCGCTGTTAGCGGCCGAAAAGTAAACTTCAAGGCGTCTTGGCTTGACTACGCCAAATGGTTTAGCTCGGCTAGGAGAAAAATACATCGGCTAGAGTGACGGCGGAGAGCCGCGAGGGCGGCGGATGGCGCTTTCGACTTCTTCATGTCGGGTCGGATCTTGTTGGCTATTCGAAAGTGACGGCGCTGTTCCCACGACCGACAAACCGCGCTGTCAACGCGAACACGACATCGGCGATTCTGTGCATTTTATGCGAAAATTGTATTGTGTTAATTCCGTTCCAGTTTCACAAGTAATGCTTCTTTGTGCGTGTGTGTGTGTGTGGACGTGCTAGGGCTTGTGCATTAAACAACCCAGACTCCGGTTGAATGCGTATCGTCCCGTCGACCGTTTCACCCCGCGATCGCGTCGGCCGCTTTTATCATCATCCTCCGTGATCATCCGCGCGAAGCTCGCCTTGCACCGGTAGACGTGCTCAGTCGCCCACTTTGCCGATGGTGGTGACGTACAAAACCACCGATGAACGCACGTATGGTTGTCACGCAGCGCTCAGCTCCGCGCAGCCCATACATTTTACCAATGATCCAAACTCGAATACGAATACCCCAGAACCGCGCGAGACGGCAAAGCCCGCCGAGGAGCCTCTTTGCTCTCCTACTTCTGCGTGTTTTCTCGTACTATGTCGACTTTGCGGAGTAAAAAAAAACAAGGGGAAAATAAAAAAAATAAAAGTGAAGGGCAACCACACGCGCGTCTCTTCGTTTTATTATTTGTGTCCCCGTCTCGGATTAATAATGAGTCGTGTTTATGTTGTACCGCAGAGAAGGCCAGAAGCGCGAGCTCATAGCGTTGGCAGCTGCCCTTGTTGCACGAGAACTTGTACCGTCGAGCTGTGCTCTAGAGCAAGGAGCTCGCGCTTGTAGCCTTTCCTGCGGTACAACACTAGGTGAAACAGACACGAGTTTGTGACGTGTAAG